CCCCATCTAACCCTACCCTTTATCCATCTTTATCCGGATCACCAACAACACATTTAAAATTAATTTTATTGTACTGATTATGCCAGAAGCATTTAAATATTTTCTGAATTATCCGTTAAATCCTGTACTTCTTACCACGAGTACCAAATTATCTTGGGGGTTAATATCAGTTAACGCTACAGAAAAGTTTATCACACGACGCCAAAGGCCTTGGGCTCTTAGGGTAATACTTGGAACTTCTCTTTATTTTAACATAATCTGTAGGAAAGATCATACGTATGGAGGACATCTCTCTACCTGGCTGCCAGCGCCTCTGCCGAGTTCTTTGCTGACATAGCTCTCTGCCCTATGGAATCCGTGAAGGTCAGAATTCAGACACAGCCTGGCTGGTCTACCACATTGAGAGAGGGATTCCCAAGGATTATGAAGGAGGAGGGGCTGAATGGGTTGGTTTGATTTTGATTTTCTCCCCCCCCCCCCTCCAACACACACTTCTTCCATTTCACGATTGACATACTATAACGGCATCATCTATCAACAGCTTTCTTCAACCGATAATGTTTTGTCAAATAGATAAAATTTGCCTGTATAGGGAAGCTACAAGTTGATTCTTCAAAATGGAAGACCGTTTGCCATGTTACAGGGTAGAGTAACCCAAACCATGAACGTTTGTCATCCTCTTGTATAAAATAACTGGAAGTTTAAAAAATATTGGGAAAGTAAATAAATTCCAGTTTCCTCATACAGGCTAAATCATTAGATTTAAATATATCGTTCATAACTTTATTAGAAATCATCATTTTTTACCGAAACCGTACAAAATTGGTTTACCTAAACTCGATAGTTGCATTTAAAGAAAGAACTGATTTCATATTTACAGATTCTATAAAGGCTTAGTACCACTGTGGGCTCGTCAGATTCCGTACACCATGATGAAATTTGCCTGTTTTGAGAGGACGGTGGAAGCTCTGTATAAATATGTAGTGCCCAAACCTCGTTCTCAATGCAGTAAACCAGAGCAGTTGGTGGTTACATTCATTGCCGGCTATATTGGTATGGTGAAGTATTCCTCATTTTTCAAAAAAAAAAAAAAGTTATAAAAAGTGGACGTGTTCACTATTGATAAATAGTTTATTAAATATACTTTAATATACAAGAATTAGACAGTATTATGGTACGTCTGTCAGCCTTTATGTAACCATAGTACAGATGTTCTACAATATGTGCGTGCGCATGGACGCGTGCGCGCGTGTGAGAGAGTATTTTGCTACCGTTATTTCTTAATAATGGTTGTTTTATAAAAAAAAATTACGATATATATAATGCGTCAATCTGGTTTTCTATTCCAGCTGGTGTATTCTGTGCCATTGTGAGTCACCCAGCCGACACCATCGTATCAAAACTTAACCAAGCTAAAGGAAGCAACTTTGTGGAGGTAGCCAAGAGCCTTGGACTGCTAGGTAAAACAGATTTATAACAAAGTTCTCTCAGTACAAATTTAAAAGTTGGGACGCTTGGGAACATCATGTGACAGGGGTTTTTTTTTGGGGGGGGGGTTAAGGGGTTATAAGATGTGAAGCAGTCATTCCTATATATAATATTTGATGCAATATCAACATGGTTAGTTTGTACGGACTTCAACTGTGTGAAAGTGGGTTAACTGAAACGCATTGCAGGGCATCACCAGCAAATTAATTCATTCGATTAATGATGTCATCTTGACGTGAACTTATGCGCTTAACAAAGATTTCTGTTTATAATCGCCGAACGACAGGGGGTTGTTCAACATATCTCTTTTTTTACTTCAGGCATGTGGAAAGGACTTTTCCCGAGGATTATAATGATAGGTACACTAACCGCATTGCAGTGGTTCATCTACGATTCGGTCAAAGTCTATTACAGGCTGCCACGCCCCCCTCCACCAGAGATGCCAGAGAGCCTTAAAGCCAAACTTGCTGCACAAGGGAAACTTTGATGATTTAGGACTTAATTAAGAAAGTTGTTTAGTGAACGAATTTTTTCATGAGCGTTTTACAGAAGCGTCAAATTGGACTGTAGGGTGAGACTTATAAGCAAAGCAAAACTTACTTAGGACTTTAAATTTTGAAAAATGTTTAATGAACAGAGTTTTTATTTGTGTGTTTTACAGAAACGTCAAATTGTACGGTTGGGTTAGACTAATAAGAGGCAGAGTACGTAGACAAACTTAGTAGTAACTGCTTTATTTGAGTTAAAGTCAGAAAACAACTCAAACTGCATTTACAAATTCATTGAGTTTTTATATGTCTACTACATTCGAACAACTGAAGGATTACATGTGTTCCAGGCCCGTAGCCAGGGGGGGGGTTCGGGGGGTTCGAAAGAACCACCCTTTTTGCTGGGAAAAGGTCCACTGTGGGTAAAATTTGACCTATGTACTTGAGGATTTTATGGTAAAAGGTCCACTTTTTCAGAAAACGAACCCCCCCTCTGAAATTGCTGGCTACGGGCCTGTGTTCTGACATTGGTTTTGTATCAAAGGTAGGGTCTAATGTCTAACAGGCAAACTTGGAGCTTGTATTTTTCATTTGTCAATTTATCACTGTATTGTGAACTTTGAAAACAGCTGCACGTTAAAAGGTTAAGTCACCAGCAAGCGTTGCAATAACACAGGGTAGTGCACATAATTGAACTGCTCTAACTAATACTCTTTTTAACATGTTTTGAAGGAAGTATGACGACACAGATTTCTGAGTGTCATTACTCCAGTCCTTGTTTTTGGCTTGATTACTGCCCTACTTATTAATTATTATTATTATTATTAAATTCTTTTTCTTTTTGATTTAAAAAGTTTCTCAACATGCGTGTAGAAAACTTCAGGCAGGCGGAACGTTACTTGTGAATCACGCAGGCGCGCTTAGACCGGGTCAGCCCTCAACTGGAGTAACTTCATCCGTAAACGTTAGTCGGCCTAACCTCGGTTTTCGTCTGACCTGCTCTGAACACACCTTAGAACTCGTGATATTCCGCTGGTTCTCAGTCGTCCATTTTGAGAAGTGCTCTGCCGTTAATCTTGCCATCCCTGAGCATCATCAAAGCTTCGTTGGCTTGGTCCAGGCTGAAGTATGACATTGGGGGTGGTTTGAGCTGGAATAATGTTAAAAATGATTCACCTAGTCATGAGCAGGGGAATGCAACATTTATAATTATCTGCCTATACACTCCAATTTGTATGATAATATTCAGGGTTTTTTTCCGGAACATTTATAGATTGGTCTTTTAATTTTCATCATTGTGCTACTTCATCAGCCTAAGCTTTAGACGTTTGGTAAATATATATTTTATGAACCACAATACTGTCGAAAAATAACCTCTCTCTCCCACTTTAAAGCATGAAAAATAACAAATTACATGGCCTACCTGTTTCTCAGCCACCAGCTTCACGAGTTCTCTCAGGTGTTGTGGACTGGCAACGTAGACTCCTCTCAAACAGTGAGTCTTGCAGGCAAATATTGGAAGCTGTATATTAATACTGCCACCAAATAGCCCGATGATGGCCAAAATACCACCCTGCAGATGAAAAGTGATGTTTGAAACACTGCCATAAATAATGGAATATAACATCTTACAAAACATTACACGTGGCAACAACAGATTTTGGATTTTATGTCAGGAATAACAATATGTAACTTGGTAAGAGGTGAACAATTACACGTTGCGACTTTTATTATATGGCAATTGATCTAATTAACGTTGTACGGTTGATTTATATCTCAACTGTAAGTAGAGGCGCAGATGGCTTTTAACAATTTGATTTTTAATTAATTTCACATAAAGCCATCCACCACAAAGGGAAATATGAAATAAACACACATACACATGACGATGAACGCCAAATATTAAACGACCCTGTTGAAAACCACATTGGTGAATCAAGTTGTCACTTTTATGGCACCATTGGTATTGAAATTGGAATTTTACAATGACAGTTTATTGAATTATTTTTCATTTAATTTATCATGACATACATACATAGTTCAAGCAGTTGAGAGCTCTGCTGGTTGTGATCCCATTATTCACAAGGTCAATTACGGCGTCCACTCCTCCCCCAGATATCTCCTTCGTACGCTCCACCAGTGTTGATTCATCCACTGACAAGGCAATATTAAACACACCAGATAGATTATGCCAAGATAACATGAAATATATTCAATATATATATTATACATATAGTATACTGACATGTTGGATTTGGCAGCCATTTTTGGAAAAATTCGCACATTTGAGTGCCAGGAAATTTCTGAGATAAAACGCGTTTCTACTTTATCGATTTATCATGTCCATTTTTTGCTTTATATTGTATATGATTCATTGTTAGCAACACATAATTCAACAAAACTTCCACTGCTGTTGTGCCCAGCAATCGCAGAACGCTCTCTATTTACTGAGTACAGAACGTTTGTTCTAGAGTGGCGAATTTTAACTGCCACATACTGAGAAGTACTGTTAAATTTACTTGAACCCCATATTTGTTTACTCTGAGTCATTTTGAAAACTTGCTTTTTTAATTCAACAAAAATCACCTGCGGGATCCCACAAAATGACATCATCAGCACCAGCAGCTTTGGCAATTTCTAATTTAGAAGTCTAAAAGAGAGGAGGATTCATTATAGCAATATTAATTATATAGGTGGGGTCAATTATAGCAGTTAATGAATGCAATTAAAGCAATCTTACTCCAGTTAAAAACCTTTCGGCAGATGTGGCCCAAACCTTCTACGTTATGCTTGATCAGGATTAAAACATTATAAAAAATATGGATACATGACATCATACATGTTTGTAAACATATAACAGTGACAAAAGTCAACATCTTTATAATACATGCAGTAGTTTACCAAAACTAAATGTTATATTAGAAAACCAGTAGTTTTCCAAAACTAAATGTTATATTAGAATTCCTAATAGAAAATATAACGTAATTGAAAACATAAACAGATTTTACCGTAATATCGGCGCTGATCACTCTGACATCTGGCGGCAGAATGGCCTTGGCTATTTGTACACACCACAGCCCCAGCCCCCCTGCGCCGATAACCAACAGCTTCGTTTTGCCTGTAAGGGGAAATTACATACCACTGGCTTTATCACCACTGCGAATATATTTTCATATTTCATAAAGTTTTATTCCCTATATTGATTTGAAAGTCAACGCCATGGCTAGATTTCAAACACAGTTTGTTGCAATCGGAGCTGTGTCGTAGCTTATCTGTGCGGATAAACATACTCGTTTGTGAAGTAAACAAAAATGAATTAATTAATTAAAAAAGGGAAAGTCCTGCTGGATTCAATATACTCTTACGAATAAATGGTGGTTGTTTTATTTTAAGTGAAAATACAGAGAAAAATGGGACAGTTTTCACAACTATCACAATCTCGCTCGTGTAAAGTCTTTCTATCAAGTGTTTATCTTTCTATGGGAGTTTGTGAGCATGCAAAAGAAAGATCGCCAGCTAGACAGATAAGAGAGTAAAATTAGCTCACGTATACCTCTTAGCTTAAGCAGCTCTTCTAATGTTGGTTTTACGACGCTGACTCCGTGGTAAGTTGTAACACCGCTGCAGGCAATGATAGCCGCTGTATCCATGCCAACCGATTCGGGCACTTTGACGGCAAACTTTTTCTCAGGGACACTGACGTAGGTTGCGTATCTGTCGAAAAAAAGGGATGATGCAAATGCGTGAAACTTTACCCAAAGTGTTCAAAAATGCTTCACTTCAATGTTCAAGGTAAACTGTTTTGAGTATCATTGCCTTTTAATGGCTTCATAATTTAAGAACCACATTTTTGAGAGCATTTACGTTGGAGAGAATATGCGTGGAATATTCTAAGACAGTAATCACTTAGTAGAGGCAATAGGCAAAGGACAGTAGGTACTACTTGTAAAGAGTCTTGACACATGACATACCCCCCGGGTTGCTGCGCTCCAAGCGTTCCCTTGATGGCGTCTGGACAGAGTTGATTGGAGCCGCCACTACATACGTCACACTTCCGGCAACCAATGAAAGAGTAGATCACAACTCTGTCACCCACTTTGATGTCAGGGTCATCTGATCAAAGATATAGGTTATAATTATCATTCAAATCTGTATTTATAGCATGATAGGAAATATCATAATCGAAATACTCGTGATGAATCTTGTCCAAATAAATTTAAAAACGGGGCATCAAATTAAATTTTTATGCTAGTTAAAGGGATAATAACTCTTCGTATGAGATCTATATTTCACAATAAAAACATTGTGAACAACTCATAGAAATATAATACATTCTGTTTTATCACAAAAACGGCATTTATAGCTATTTTTCTGATATCTGACCTTGTCTTTAGACCACGTGACCTCCATTGATGGCTTTATTCTGTTATAATCTCTTAAAAGGTTAAAACAAACAAAAAACCCTTTTCGGAAAGAAAAAAAAAAGAAAAACGGGGACTAACTTTGAATGTAAAAATGGATTCGTTGACCATTGGTAAGTATGGGAAAAGTGTTGTTCACTCCAGGAAAATTCATTTTTGGCCAAAACGAAGAGTTATAAGCGACCTGAAAACAGTGACCGCGAAACATCCTGCATTTATTGCATCTATTAAACAACACTTACCAGCACTCGCTTTATCTCCCAGTGAGTGAACAATCCCAGATATTTCATGACCTGTTGAGAGAGTATTCGTAGTAATGAATATACAGTTATAGAAATTGGAGTACGATTAATAATTAAATTTGGATTTTATTTGTGCTGTGTCTAAATATTTATGAAACAATCATTTTTCTTTGAAACGCGCTACACATTCTTAAGAGAAGAATATATTAGTGCGTTTGCGTACATGAACATGCGTTAGCATGTGTGTGTGTGTGTGTGTGTGTGTGTGTGTGCGCGCGCCCAAGTGATTAATAAAAAATATATATTTTTAGAAGAAATATAGTCAACTCTGAGTCAGGCACATACTACGACAAGTGTATTTTTTCAAGCAGTTACTTTGTGTAGAAATTTGTTAATTTCCACGCCACTTACATGTATACATGTATTTATGAGTACTATGAATAAAGTTACGTTCTTCTGTCTTGCAGTGAATTTGGCCAAGTGCCAATATATGCTAACTGGCTCCAAGTTCACAAAAAAAAAAAAAAAAACAACTTAAGTCAGGTTCCCTGGCTCGGAACTTAATTCCAAAGTTACATGGTCACATGGGCACATCTTACCCTATCAGGAGCAGTGTAACAGCACTCTCATTCATGGAAACTCTAGTCAACTAAGCCAGGGAGCTGACTTATGGCTGACTTATGTTTTTTTTTCTTTTGTAGAAATGGGCCCTGGGCTTACTTTGGCAACCTTTATATTGTGGCATCACACCGTGCAGCAGCGTATACGTAGCTTGGGATTTGGGACGGGTTTAAAATGTTTAGATAGTGCCACAAGGTACATTGCGAGTCTCTCAATTTTCTTTTTGTACACATGGTAGTATGATTTACACGTGAAACAATGGCTGACTATATGTACATGTACACGATGATTTTTTACGGGGTCGTTTCAAAACACTGATTTTAGGCTTAGAAAAAGAAGCGGAAACTCTCACCTAGTACAAAGTTGTGCGGATCGCTGAGGAAGGTCATTTCTTTTCCATCGCCTAATTCTGTTTTGTTCTCCCAAAGGTGGATATCAGAATGACAAATGCCAGCGAAACTGGTCTAGAATAAAACGATTGATTAAGTACTAAATTGATTAAAAGATTTAAGACGGGACATAAAGAGGTACAGTTTGCAATGCGCTTGCCTTAATATATAATACTGGGCATTTGGTGTTTGATATTTTGGATATGTCAAGTTTGAAATACTGACTGAGCATCAATCACTCTTTCAGACTGCCGTGTCAGAGTTCTGACTTGCATGGCTGTCAGGTTGTTCTTGTCACTTCTGTTCTTAAAAAAGACCTATATCAAGTCATGTGACCTCATTCCGAATGCCTTCTTCCACCAATCAAAGTATCGGAGTCGTTGGCGTCCTTCTGTTCTTTTAGTCTGCGGGGCAACCCGTAACAGCTTTTTTTAATCAAAATCAAGTCCCCAAATACACGTCTGCCTGCCAAGAATCTACCACATAGTTGCATAACTTGTACTAATAATAGTCAAAAGTTTAAAGGCTTAATTATGGCAAAACAATCCGCTCACTGCAGAATATATGTTCCACGTGCATAACTGTACAAAAAGTATTACGAGGTCATGCGTTAAGACCTCCGGAAACATAAAACAATTGGATTAAGTGTGCTGACAACGTTTTGAATGGTAGAAGTTTTGGAAAAGCGATACAAATCTGTTTCGGCGATATCAAGCCAACAAGTCGTTTTTATCACCACTAAAAGCACACAAATTTGTGATGAATAAACAACCCGTTGGGTAAATTTGTCATCGTTAAAACAAATAAAAAATTACAGACCCGCGCTCATCAATGCGAAATTATGCAATGTTCCCACGGTAAAAACAGCACAGTTTAAGCTGGGCATGCGTTTTACAATTTTTTCAATGGATCAAAAAGATTGATGAAAAATTGGACATCCATCAGGAAGTATAATAACTTGCAAAAAAATTCCTTCATTCCTGCGCCATTAAGTATATAGATCAGATACATGTAGAACTAATTAAGATACGAAGTTTTAATGTTTTAACAGTATGACTGTAAGTATATGACCACTGTCGAAAGCTGTGGTGAGGGGAGGGAAAGCGGTTCCCCCGCCACCCCCTCCAGAGAATTAAAAAAAATTTTTTTGGAACATTTCCAAAGCTTTTACGCTATCTTTCTCCCAATACACCAGAAGCCTCTTACTTTTTATTGTAGGCCCCAACTTTTTCTCATCTTATGCAAGGCGCTGCGAAACTGCACATCTGTTAAAGAAACGAAATTGAAAAGCAAGCAAGCACCTGTCATGTCTCAAGATTAGTATTTAAAAACTTTTAAAGATTTTGGACATGACGTACCGGTGGTAAAGTAGGAACGTACTTGTTCTTGGGGAAAAAGATTTGGCAGTAAAATTCGTATCAGGCTTCCTTTCCCTTGTCTCTTTCAAAGCACGGTATTGGAGTCTTTGAAACAGTAAAAATAGTGGACCATGATGTCAGAGCTTTCAACTATTACTTGCTTTTATAAATTTCTTGTTTCCTTTGGTAATAACTAAAACACACTAAATTATTTTTAAAAATTAAATCGTATACCTTAATAACAAGTCCTTCTGGCGGTGGTTTGGGGATTGCCTGTTCCACAATTTTCAGCGGTTCCTTAGGTGCTGGAACTTGAGCCGAACGCATCACTGGAGCAGACATCTTGGTCTGGGGCGTCTGGTTCTGTGTTTAACTAACCTGGGAGAAACGCGACCTTCTTGTAGAGTTGCTTGCTAATATTTGAAAAAAAAAAAAGAAATTGACCTTTGAACAGCGAGGACGTGGTGCTGTAGATTATAAATGTATCACGAATGTAAATGGAGGTCGAGTAACGCAGTTCGGTACCTACTCGTGCCTTGTGTGTTATTCAACTGTGTTTTTTAAAATGTCGGCGCTCTCTCATTTTAACACTTGCAAATATAGTATTTAGTTGGCGATCAAATGGCAAAACTGCTAACCGCAATGAAATATACTTTGGCATCATGCAATACACACATATGAAAACGTCAAACTGTGGCAAATGGGCTGGTCTGTCTGGCTGTGAACGAACTGAATACTTTAAACCCATTGAATTTAGTGATAAAATCGATACAAATCAGTGCGATAAATATTCAATATAGAATTCAAAATAGACACATATCACGATTTCAGGAGTCTGTAGAAGATTCTAAAGCCATATCTTTTATCTGACTTTTTGTGTGTTATCCTATTTTTAAATGCCAAGAAATCAGGATTGTTCGTTTAACAGTGATGACAAATTTTAGAATAAAACAGGCATTCTGTATTACACTTTCGACGTCATCGAGTTATTTTATTTATTTATTTATTTATTTATTTATTTATTTATTTTGGTCCAGGCTGAAAGCTTGAGAGTTGGTAAGAACTTGGAAGAGATAACCAATGTGAAAAGGTGACTTTATTTGTTCCATTGCAGTCATGTAAAATATGACGTCAAGGTACCGCATCTTCCTACTGGTAGTTGTGTAAAGAAAGATGTGTTTAAGGCTGAAATTAAACAAAAAGAAAGGTTAATCACCATCTGGTTCTCTTCACCTTTAACCAGAACTGTTTTTTTTCCAGCACATCTGAGGTTAACTTGTTAATCATATGGACAGTGCTTGTCATTTTTTAAGTCTTTCATTTTTCTGAACGAACTTAACAAAAGCTAATTAGTTAATTGCCTTGTTTTTTGTAAGTATTGAAAATACTAATAATTTTTTATTAGAATACGTCTTTCAATGTCGGTAGAAAATAACAACGAAGCATGTGACCAAAATGTGACTACTATGTTTTAAAAGGGATTGTTGAAAAGATACCATTACACAGTATTACAGAGTTTATAGTTCTATAGGTTTATGGATGTTCAGTTTTGAAAATCTCAAGAAGATGCACTGAAACATGTATTTCTTTCACCAAATTCAATAAGGCCTACTATGAAAATTTCAAGGGACAAATCAATTTACTGCTCTATCATAATGAAAATTTTGCATTTGATGTTTTAAGTCTGCATTCACAACTACAAAAGTCGGTGTGACAGGAAAGTTAATAGTCCAGGAAAGAAGGTCTGGGGTTCCATACAGATTAACACAGGTTGAGGGTAACCGGAAGTATTGGAGGCAGTATATGGGACAAATGTCGCCTGTTCAAAGTGATGGGAAACGGACTTCGGTTTTTAGGAAACTGCCATTTCTGTCACACCGATTTAGAAATCAAGTAAAGAACAAGTCTCACTATTTCGCACTTTATTACAAGGGAGGGAAAGACATTAGTGATATATTTTGGACTGACTGTATAATAATGCATTTCTGCTTCCAGTATTCGTTAATGAACGGCAACCGTCGTTTTCTGATCTTAAACTGTTGTAAAGCCTGTCCTTGCATTTTAAATGAGAAATTGATAACCATACCCGTGTCACGGTGTGCGTTTAGGCCTCAACTATTCTACTGTTCACCATTATAGATATCCATGGTAACTTACATTATAATGTGCGTTTGTAACTAAATCTGAATCATTCAAGAAGCAAATAATCT